CAGTGGTGTCCAGTGACAGGACAGGAAGAAATGGGCACAAACTGAAACACAGGAGGTTCCACTGAGACAAGTAAAATAAACTTCTTACTGTGAGGATGGTCTAGCACTGGCACAGGCTGCCTGGAGAGGTTGTTGTGTCTCCGTCCCTGGTGCTATTGAAAATCCAAATGTATGTGGCCCTGAGCAACCTGCTCTAGTTCCTCCTGTTTTAAGCAGAGGTGGATTAGATGATTTCCAGAAGTCCTTTCCAACCTCAACAGTTCTATGTGTGCATGTGTGTACGTGCATGTGCACAAGTGCACGTGACCTTAGCTGTCAGAAAGTTAGCATAAAAACAAAGAATGAAAGCTGAGCAACTGAGGAAAGACAAAACAAAAATTTTCTAAAATAATTATTTAATCTTCAGTGACTATTTTGACTAGTTATTTTGTTATTATTAGACTCAAACATACCTTTACATCTCTTCAAACACAATATTAAGAACAGTGAGATGAATTAATTTGAATTATTATTTTGGCATTATTTAAGAATAGGTAAAACTTAGAATCATCTTGTCTGGCTTACAGAAAACTTCTTCCTGGTAATTCTCACGAGAAGAGGCTTATTTTAAACTTCAAGAAATTTTTAAGGTTTTACCAACACAGTGGCCAAAAAGCACAAGATAATATGAAGCATTCAGTATCTGTTTTCCTTAGTAACTACCACTTCTTTGTTCCAGAAAGGTTCATACTACATGGGTTGAACTGGGAGACAGTTACACTGGACAATTCATCTGGGACATATGTGTGGTATACTCTAATGTCAAGAGTGCCTCCAAATCAGCTGTATCAGAAACACATTTCTACTCTTTCACCATTTTTAATGTCTTTATCGATAGTCTTGACTCAGACTTTCTGTCTGAGCCAATATTAAATATTAATTGAATATTAAAATATTTTAAAATGCAGTCTACAATGGTCCTCTAACTTTCAAGCAATCAAAACCTGTGTACTTAATGTTATCCCAAGGTTAAACCAATTTAGTTAAAAAGATTAAGTTCAAGAGGCAAAAGCTATGTCTACACAACATATGATTTTGCCAGCATAAATATCTGCAAATTTCCTAGATCTGCTAGGCTAGCATCCTAGATCAGCTAGATTGTCTAGATCATCTTACACAAATACTTCATACTAGTTTCCCTGTCTCCCTCCTACCAGTATAAATCACCCTGACAGAAAAATTAATACTGGTCTAAGTACACACACCAGAGTTTCTGCTAGTATGATTTCTGTGGACACATGGGACACAATTTGCCCAATGCACTGCTGAAAATATACATTTACTTTGAAAGCTAAAATCTGCTATTTCAATCTCTCTCTTTTTTTTTTTTTTTTTTTTTTTAAATATACCTGCGCACTTCCTTGCTTAAAGTGGACAAAACTTGAAATAGAGATAATATTTAAATTGTTGCATACTGTGCTATTTAACTGGGAACACTTAAAAACACAGGCCAAAAAAATATTGAGGAAGATGGTGGCTAACCTACTTGTGCACTTGAAGGGTACTTCAAAAATCTGTAGATTATGGGTCAGTTTACCACTGGCACATAACTTAGTAGTGCAGTATTTTCCTCCTTTCCTATTAAAAGATCAAGGACAAAAGTGGGTATCTTCCACAGGAGTACAAGCACTCAGGCACTGAAAACAACTGGGATTGTAGTAGATGTACTGGCATCTGCTTGCAGTCCCGGTGGGGCTGAGAGGGATGACTCATTGCTCCAGCAGATCTGCCTCTGAAAGTACACGTTTACAAGATAGAGAATCCTTTGCACAATAAGTGCTATAGCACAACTGTCACCAGGCAATCACTGGAGGAAGACTAGAACGTGAAAAAGGAAAGAATAGAGGAGAAGGGTTTTGTAGCTATATATCCTATTTTTACTTCCATTAGATGTACTGGGTATCGAAGTTCCACTATCTGTACCACCGAGCAAAAAGCTCTAATCCTAAAAAGGATACTGGAATAATAATAAAAACAAAAAAGTCAAGAGGCAATACACCCGTGCTATTCTTTGAGTTACCCATTACCTATTTATCATTCCATGAAATAGTAAAAGATTTCAAGTAGTAGATGAGCAAGACTTACTTCAAATCAGCTGAGAACATAACAAAACAAAAACCAACTCACTCATATAAAAAGTGCAATTGTTTTGACATCACCTAAAGCTTTTTCTAGTTAACAAAAAATAATCTGGTAAAATTCTCTTGGACCTCTCCTTTCTTAACCTTACACCCTGAATTCCATTACCATGCTGAACCAGGCAGCCATATAAATAGCAACAGAACGATGGCAAACTCAGGATTATGACTTCCCTTCAAGTTAAAATAGAACAGCTAGAAGAGGGAAATGCTTTATTGCACATGCAAAAGTAATGTGAAACCTAAGTAAACACACAGCTTATCTGCACGTAAGTGATCCTTTGTGTACTGTATCAACAGTAGTTCATAGTGTTCCTGAGGTTTGAAGTTCAAGAAGATTGACTTCACTGCACTTGAGTATCTCACACAAAGATCTGTCTTTAACTAATATTTTCAGTACAAAGGGATAGTAAGTATAACTTTTTAGTGATTCTAAAGTGGAAAGCAATTGCTGCACAAGAACAAGCTTCTCAATTCCTCTTATTCACTGAATTAAGACATAGCTTATTAAATACTCTAGACTAAAATCCCATCCTATTTTTAATAAATGCAGCAGGCTATGGCTCCAACTATCTTCTAGAGAGAAACTGTAACACTGTTACAGCTTGTAGGTAGATAAAGTTAATCCTACAAGGACAGAGCGTACACTCCTTGCTTTTAAGAGCTAACATTGTCAAAGATGTGATGACATAGCAAGAAGTCTTTCATATTTTTCTTCAGCCCTGTGTGGATGGATGTTTTCTTGCCTTTTTGTTAACTTCATTATAGCAGTTTGTACCAGTTCTGACAAAAGCCTAGCGAAATCACAATGCAGGAATCTTACTGATGAGAGGAAAGTGCCTAATAGAGTTTTTAAAGCTCATCCTTCCACGTGCAAACACCAAGGTCTGAATCGTTAAGATGACCAGAATAAATGTTACTGAGCAGGCAATGTAAATTGTCAGGGGTTACCTTCTACTTTTAATATTTATTGTGCTCAAAAGTGCTAGTGAAGACTAAACCAGAACAAAGGAGTGGCAGAAGACAAAGGGAACATTAGGACTTAAAGTGTTGGACACTGCCTGTGGGAACTGCCTTATGAGCCAGGGAGAAATTGCTACAGAAAACAGTTTCAATACTCTTTTCCTTGTTCCTCTCAGTCTAGGCGTTCTGAAGTTCATCAAGGTTGTATTTTGCAAACAGACACTGACTAGCTGCAGTAAAAGAGCCCTATATTGTAGTCATAGAAGTCACAGGATAGCTAAAAATGGTTTAATTCCCTTTCAGTCTCAGTTGATGACACTTGAGTGAATTCTCACTACTCCCCTCCCTGGTTTCAGGAAGATGGGAGGGTTTCTAGTCACAAGCCTCTTCACACAACAAAACTAAAACAAGTGCAAGTGGTCCTACTGTAATAATGCTTGTGTCTTCAGAGCCTCGAAAACTCTTCCAAAAAAATGAGTGTTCTAACAAGGCTTGGAATGCAACCAAGCTTTGTCAGTACACTTAAGCAATTACTTCGTTTTACTAACAAGGTTACTATTTCGGAGGAGAATGTGATTTTCAAATAGAAAGCTTTAATGACATAATATACTAGACACTTGTATTAGTGCAATCCTTATACAGGATACGTTAACTACTCTGAGGTAAGGAAGTATGCCAACAGAAATACTCCTACACTGGGCCAAACGGAAGGTAGAGGATGATTTGGTTTTATTAGTAGATACAACAGTTTCTAGTAGTTACGCAAAACCTGAGATGACCTAAAAGCTAACATACGCTGTGAACAACCCTAATTTTAAATGTCCTGTTATTATAAAGTTTATAGATATCATAGCCATAAACAATCCAACTTTTGTCAAAAATCACTTGGCTTTCCAGCTTTGCATACTAAAATATTACACCATCAAATAGTCAGAATAATGGGAACATCCACATTTTTGCTAATTTGTGTTAAACCTCTACTCCTTTACAAAACATATCCATTAAATGCTTCTGCACTGCCTCAGTAACGTATACATACATACTAAAGACCAATTCCAGGATGCCAAAACTTTCTCAACCCCTGTTCCTGCTGCAATGTTGTTAGTTTTTAGATTAATTCAACAGAAACCAGAATATGTTTGTTCAGTCAGTTCTCAGATGTCTCTATACACACACAGTTGGGATATGCATAATAGTCAGTGGACATACTGAAGTACTTAACGGGAAGCTGAGAAGAACAAGAAAAAAGGAGAGTAAATAGTCAGGCAGAAAAAAGGAAAACGGCTGTTGCCTCCACCTCCCAAATTTGGTCCCCGTATTGACAGAGCCTTCTGTATCTTTGTATTGTAACAGAGAAGAAGCATTAGTATTTTACACAGCATCATGACACGCAATTACTCTGTAGTAATGAATCTCAAATTCAAGCTATTTACTGAAATAACACCCTGCTTAGCATCCATTACCTAATCAGTTTCCACTTACACAAGATTAACCCTCCCCTTAACACCTTTTATCTAGTATCACTATAGTGATAAACTAGATGCTTAAAATTGTAAATTCTTCATTCCTGCAAATTAGTTGGTGCTTAATAGTGAAGACAGATATTTCTCAGTAGTTCCAAAGGTGTGCTTTAAAATACTAAATTTAACACTTTCATGTTTATCAGGTGACTCTCCTACTAAAGGTTTCAGGAGTACCCAAATGACCTTTCTTCTGAAATTGTGTGTATTATATACTCCCTATCCCTCCTCAGCAGTTACAAATTTATTAAGCTTTGAAGTGTGCCCATCACTGACCAGTATAAATCCATAACTGCAAATCATTACACACCTTAAAAGAAAAAAAAATCATAAAACATACCTGACTTAATAGCTGTCCATGAAAAATGTTGTTAACCACATTCAAAACCTGTTTTATAAGTTTTCTTTGAGAAGCAGGGATGAGAGCTGGGTATCTGGTCCCCGTAGTCTCCAGTTCCTGCTGCACTTTATCCAAAAGTTCACAGAGAAATTCCTGAGCATCTTGTTGGGCATATCCTCTAAAGGCTGGAATTAGTCTCCACACAGAATGAAGCATGGCAAAAGGAGACACCAGCACCCATTTGCCAGACCACATAACTTGGAACAGAGTATGCAGCTCATGACAGAGAGAAATATGCTTTGAACTGGGCTCCCTGGGCTGAATAAGTTCCATATTTCTACTTTTTGATGCTCCTCCACTTAATCCAGAGGATAAACTAGGCCGCCTCACAGAAGATGATCCCTTGACTTTCTTTTGGCTCTCATTCACACGTAATGTTGAGGCAGCTATTGACAGGTGTTTAGATGAAGATCTAGTTTTACCATTGGTTGCTGTTGCCAGCAGTTCCTGAGTTTGGTTGAGATCAAGCTTTAAAAAGCATTCTCGAAAAATAAGTAAGTGACTTAATACCTGCAGGATAGAATTCATATAGCATGTATTTCCCAGGTTTCTTAGTCCTGTTACCCCAGGAGTCACTGTGGGCCTTCGTTTAATTGGAGAGTCACTTATTTTTTTCAATCTTACTTCATCTGAGGTATATGTTTCTTTCAACTCTGCCACAGATTCCACATTCTGTGATGGTTTTTGCAGGCAGGGTGCTGTTTTTGAGGACATTCTAACCTGATTTTGTAAACGACTGCTCTTTCTTGGAGGCATCTTTTCCATCTCTGCTTTCCATTCACGCTTTCGTTCTTGTCTTCTTTTCCTAGCTTTGTTCCTTCTTTCCTCTGCTTCTTCCCGACACCTTTCTTCTTCCAAAATCTTCTTTCCAGTAGGTGTCAACTCAAGCCATGATCTGAATATTTTGCCCAGGAACGCACGCCGCCGGTGCCAGAGAGCTGTGAACATGCGGTCTTCATTCCGAAGCAAGGCTTGGGCACCACCATGTGAAAGGTAAGAATCATCACTTGTACCCATAGAACGCAAAGTCCTCCCACTTCGAGTAGTGCACTCATAGTTTTGACTCTTGATTGCACTTAAGGTACTTCGCAACAGTTTTAAATCACCGGTTGCATTATCATTAAGAACATAATCGTCGCAAAGATAACAGAAAACATATAGCTCATTTACTTCCAATGCCACTGGGTGACTGCTCTCCTGAAAGTGCTTTAGTGCATGTTCTTCAATATATCTTCCACACGCCACATGCGAGCAGCTGAGGCACGCCCACACAGATTCTGTAGTATTGCAGTCCACGCAATGCCATTTCTGAGGATTCAGAATGGAGTGATCTTGGGCCAGTCGCAAACGTCCTATGTGCTTACACTTATCCATTGTTAAAACTGAAATTGCAGAGATACGCTAGCAAAACACATCATCCAAACTATTTTCTGTCCATGATATTTCAATCTGCAACTAAAAAAAAAAAAAGTTGTAAGTTACAGTTCATACATACCCACCAGTATCCCTTTTACAGGTGTCAGTATACCAAGCTCAGATGTGAGGTTAAGATCACAATCTCCATGCAACTAAGTCCCACCAAACATCTAAAGACAGTCAGTTATGTGGAGCCACAATTGACATTATCAACAGCAGTTCAATGTTCAGACTAAATGGTCTCAATACCACTGTTTTTATTTCCAGTACCTTCTGGCTCAGGACTGAAGAATACTGGTTACATTTAGATTAGGCCTGTTTTTTTTCAAAAGAGCACTGATCTAGTTAAAAGCCACTGTTACACAGTTTGGATACAAACACAACTTAAAATGGGACAACAGGTTGCCCAGAGAAGTTGTGGATGCTCCATCATTGGAAGTATTCAAGGTCACACCGGAAGGGGCTCTGAGCAACCTGGTTTAGTGGAAGATGACCCTGCCCACAGCAGTGGGGGTTAGACTAGAAGATCTTTGAAGGCCCTTTCCAACCCAAACCATCCTGTGATTCTAAAATGCTCCTATTAATTCTATCCCTAAGCATACAGGTGCAGAAGGGCAAAGTTCACTTAAATTTATTATGTTTATACAGCACCAACAGTTCAGACAAATGAGGCTTTATACAAGTCCAACCCTTAATTAAACCACACCTTTAATTAAATCACTGCACCTTTTTGCTCAGGCAAGCCTATTATACCACTGCTTTCTACAGTAATTTATCTTCAGTAAGTGCATTTTAACTTGTCATCCTAACACCTCTGAAAGAAAAAGTGACCTGGAAAAGCAAAACTTGATTTCTTCATAAGACAGAAATACCATTAGATATCTACTTTAGTCGCTGCAAACTTTGTAAAAACCTGCATTTTGAACAGATCTTTCTAATCCACATTTTCAAAATAATCACTCAAAAATTTGGCTAGCACTGGCTTACATCTTTTAATAAGTTTATGTGGCAGCATCTATTTGTTCAAAGCTGCTGTATTTGCTGTCACCTATAAGGTGTGTTTACCTAAAACACACAGGATCTGACTAACACCAACTAAAGAGATAGTGATTCATTCTTTATGTTTTTACCACGTTTCTTTCAACTATCTGTAGCTGAGAGATATCATCTAGAGACAAATGATGCATCAGGAAGTGATTATATTTGATCCGGGCTGCTCGTGCCCATGATGTCCCTGACTAAGAGGGCTAAATAGCACACAACACCAGCATCATGCACAGTACTTGCCAGATGAAACCCAAAAGATTATATTCCAGCTATTATCCTTGAAGATGTTAATATGTCTCCATTTTTACAGTTCTGAGATACACAAGAATAGGTTTATCGATTTAGAACAGATGTCTAAGTTAGAATAAGCATTAGATTGAGGGAACCCTAGTATACAATGACACAACACTGCTAAGGAAAGAAAACAGGTTAAAAGTTGCAGATGGATAGGAAAGCAGCTTTATTTTTCATCTGGTACTTGGATAAAAACTGTAGTTACAAGATTTAACAAAAAAAATGGCTGTGACTGGTCAATCGGCCCACGGCTAGAGCCTTTTAAAATGTTACAATACAGAGGGCAGCACAAGAGCTGTAACAACTCTCTAAGCACGTGGCCAGTATCCAGCATTGCGTGTGTTGTGTAGGTCTTACTCTTTAATACAGAAAAGGTTGAGCCAGCTGTAGTGAAACTAATAAAGTGTACACAGTTTTACATGCCCATACTAATCATTCTCATTCATTTTATCTAAGAGTTGTCTCCTGTCCACACTCACTGCACTGAAGAATTTCAGGTGCCATGACCCCTGGGTACCCATTCAGTAATTCCCAGATTAAGTACCAGCCATAGTATATCATGGGAGGTCGAGATCCCTTGTGTGCTATGGTCAACAGATCACAAAAATAATGGCTTGCTGAACTTTTTCAGCTTGCTAGCATCCATAACATTCATTCCTTCTAAAAGGCAGTCTATTCATAGGCTGCTAATGAGATTCTTTTACAAATAGTCGTGCATACTAAGTTTGCTTTTTATACTATCTTTATAAACAAGACCACTCCTGGTCTGACAACCTGTTTTCCCCAACAAAGCTGAGCTTTTCTAACACTGATAGAATTCACATACATTTCAGAGTTGAACTAGGTATGTTAATTCTTCCTGGAATATTAAAGTAATACCCATGTAAAGTGTGCTGCAAGAACTAAATACTGTAGGGAGGGTTTTAAGAGACAAGACTCGTCTTTGTGTTTCTGGGCTAACAGAAATGGATTCTCCTGCATCACATATTAGTTATGCTCCTTTCCAGCAGGCCAGAAAAGAACACTAAACCCTGCCTTCCCACAGGGCTGTCATACACAGCAATGCTGTCAGTCACAGGAGTTTGACACATCGACCCTTTCTGGTTTTGTTAAAGTCACTGTGTAAACACTGTGCCTTATTTTTCGTTCTTTTTAATATTATATGGTCAAAAAAAATTCTTTTTCTCCCTTCAAAAAATATTCTCAAGAGTGAAACTACTTACATGCCACAATGTAAGCAGATATTGGTCTGAGGACAAAAGCAGTCTGCTGATTTCAGGACGACCACCGTGTAAACCAGGGTTTCACAATCAAGCTCTTCATGCAAAAGCAATACGATTCTACGAAAGCGCAAGATCAGCGCCTTGAAGAGAAATACCTAAAACCCCAGCTCCCCCACCAGAAGCCAAGCCAGCATGACATTTTCCCACCTACATCGATGTGTGGAGAAAGGAGATGGGGGGGAGGGGGAGGAAACATCTCGGCATGGGAGAAGTCTTTCTTTGACGAAAACGTGAAGAAATCAAAATGCAGCATTTGGTCAAAAAGACAGAAATATCTGAAAAGACTGCAAAAAAGCTAAAAGTACAAAACTGAGACCAAGAAAACTTCAGCTGAATGTCAGGCAACACGCTGACAGCACGAATATTTTAAGATGCAGAGCACTGAAGTACTGAGACTACATCAAGTCACAAAACTTTATAACTTTACCTTAGAACCAAGTTTGGCAAGACAGAATAACTAGGGGAAAAAACAGGAGTGAAGGGACAGATAACGGTGGAACATTAAAAATACTGCATACTCATTCCCACACCTACTAGAAAGCTGCAGTTGGATAAAAAAGTACAAGCAAATGCTCCAACGTTAAAATTCCCTAAAGAAAGTTATTCAGCGCTAGTTTCTACATTCTTCTCTCCCGAGGTTCAGTTCTGTGCACACACACAAAGAAACTGGGAATTAGTTGACCAGCACTTCAGAGATCAAGCCCCCCTGTGTTCTCAGCACAGACCTGAGCCGAAGTAGTAAGCAAAATAACAAGTACTAACATACAGAATAGCACTACTGAAAGCATTACGTTGTCTGGGAAGAGAGATACACAAAAGTCTTTTCTTGCGCCAAAGTTTCACAAGCTAGCAATAATGATGTGTGGAATAGGGTTTTTTTTTCCCACTGAACCATACTTCAACCTTGTTGACGTGTTCGTTTATTTAGTTTCACTACAGAACGGCTGGCAAAATGAACATTTCGGGGTAACTCATGAGCTGAAAAAGTACTCAATGTCAAAAAATAACTTAGAATTCAATAAAATAGGTCTTTGTCTTCCATTTCTGCTCCATGTAAGCAAGAAATTAAGATTTGCCTTTGCATCTGATAGATTTTAAAATTTTAACTCTAGATACAAACAAAAGGCAATTTTCCCCTTAGTCACTACTTTTGTAATTAATTGCTTGGTATGTAAATGAAAAAAAAAGTTTATCTCAAGCGTTAGACTAGAAATGCAGTACATAGTTTTAGTAAAATATATACACACATGTATGTGTGTGTATGCTCGTGTGTGCTATTAATATTCTCACTTTTAAATCTGATGACAGTTTACTAACTGATTTTCATCAGAGTACCTACCTATTCAATATCTGAAAAAAACAGGAACCATGGGTACTCGAACAACTGACTGGAACAACTGAAAGTTTTAGATAACAAGTATGCTAACTAGAAGGCAGATGTACTGCTTTCTTAAACAATGGTTTGTTTTTTTTTTTAAGAAAACAGCCCAACAAAACATTGATGTGGATACCTTCAAGCTGCTCTACAGCCTTGCAGGCATAACAGTAAGACTTAAAAATCAAAGCAGCACTTCAAAAAGAAATTTTGTAAATTATTTCCAATTTTTAACAGTGCAAGAAAACCTCTAGCCTCCTTTCTTTGGAGCCATACAGACCGCCATTTAACTTTTTTTCCTCTTTTTTTTTGCCAGCTAAGGAATGTATATATTGTACATATACATTCTGCCTAGAAGTAGCTATTTACACCAGGGCGCCAGACACCGGTGCAGCATTACATTCAGTGTCTCTTATTGCAAATAAATTTCCCAAAAGCATAAAAACCCCACAGCATTTCTTATCAGTCTGGATTTACACTTGACAGTTCTTCCCATCTAGAAAAAGCAGCATCTCTGACTGCTCTGACAGCTCCCCGGACAACGCCTGCCTCCTGCTCTGACAGCCCTCCCAAGCCAAGACACTCCAGCTTAAGTTCACCCACGGCTCGATGCCGCAGTGCCAGCGTGCCCACGACTGTGTCGGTAGGAAGGTCCTGCGCTTCCCAGCGCCCCGCGACATGGCGCGACTCTTCCCCTCTCGCCGACAATAAGCA